ATGGAAATTCAGAGCATCCTTTGTGGCTCACAGGACGGATGGCTCTCCAGTACAGCTCAGCATCCTGACGTCCTAAACAGGAACAAGCCTCATGCTGTGAGACAGCCTGGGAATGGCGCTGCCAGCTGGTGCATTGCTGATTTTTCATTACAGACTTTTTCTATATATTTCTGTTTTGTTTTGCAGCTCTATCACTGGTGATGTTTCGGGTGCTTCAATAGCAGTAATATTAACAGTGCAAAATATTGCCATGTTAAAAAAAAAAAAGAGGTAAGGGTGCTGATAGTCATAAGGAGAGCAAAACCTTTGTAGATGTATGTCAGCACCTTCTCTTTTGGTGATCCAAACAAAAATCTCGGTGCAAAACCAGCAACTGAACTCTGTCACCAAGAAAAGAGCTTATTTCTGCAAAGGAGCAATGCTCAGAAAGCATAAAACTTGTCACCTGAGAAGGCCACCCCTCCAGTACCCATTCAGTGGCCTGTTAGTGACATGGTTTGGTCTCTACTAGCTGTTTGCTTCCACCTTCCCTACCTACCGTTGATATCAATTAGCTCAGATCTGTTCTTGCTGCTGCTGCTGTTTTGTGCTTTTAATGCGTGTTTCTGTTCTCCGCAGGCTGGGACCAGCTGCCTCTGTCTCAAGTGCTGTTCATGTTTATGAATGAGCTGCTGCATGCAATCAGCAAGCGTACAGGAAAGCAGAGCAATAGGTAACACAGAAGATACTGGTTCATTCCTCCGTGCTGCTCTTTTGCTGCTTAATTAATTTTTCTCTCAGCCTTCCTAGTTATAAAACTTGGCCATGAATGCCTTCAGCTAGAGGAACGTGGTGGTGTTTTCCTTTTTTTTTCTTTCTTTCCACTTTTTATTTGCATGCTTTCTGCTCCAGCATGTGGTAGATAGATATTTCCCCATTGTTCTTCAAGTTCTTGCAAGTCCACCTGACATGTAGCTATTTCTGGGTACTTGGCCTGCTGCACACCACAGCCATCACCGATGAACATGTTAGGGCTCAGTCCCATGGGCAGATCCTCCTCCCTTAGAAAGTCACTCTGCATAAGCAGATCCGTGATGTCTATGTCCATGCCCTTAGCCTGCAGCAAATGCCAGGCATCCAGTTTGCTTTAGATCACTCAGAAAGAGGGCTAAGTGAAAGTTGCGCTATTTTGCATTTCCCGTGGGCTCTGTGCAAGCAGCCTCTGCGGCTCATCTGCTGCATATTGATCCGTTACTGCTCTGCCTTGGTAACCTCAGCTGTGCTGGCATCCTGAGACCCAGGTGCATTAAGACCGTGAAAAACACATGCAAGTTTTTCTTTCTTTCACCCTGAATAATATATATGCTACCCTGTTTTCTGTGGTAGCTCTACCCTGCTCACTAAGCAGCTAGCTAGTCCTGATAAAGCTTCAGAAATACGTGCTATGTAGGGATATGACTTAGGCTTTTTTTCCTTCCTGCTAAGAGTGTTTTGTGCCCATTTGCCCTGCTCCTGTCAGTCTTTGCTTTGCTGTGATTTATCTTCCTATCATGTAGGTGTCTCTGTGTGAGATGTCCTGTTAGTGCAGCTCCCTTATGGCTATCCACATTCATGCAAACACTGCTTGCATCTGGCTGGGCTGCCAGGAAAACGTCTGTGTGCAAGGGCTGATTTCTTTTGAAGACCTTTCTCTTTTACCTTTGTGTAGTGGCTCCCTGAAGAAGACCTAGGCTGGGATACAGCAACTTCACCTCTTCTCGCAGTGTGGCTCCTATAAAATAGTGAATGAAAACCTGGTGGCCTTCCCCCTCAGAGTTCACTGCAAGATCTTAGCCAGACTGTACTCCTCAAGCAAGGCATGGTTTGACTCACAGGTTAGTGGTACAAGCTTCAATCCATTGCAATGCCACCTGCTTCTACTGCAAAAGAATTTGAGTGATTCCTACACCCTACCATCCACAGTCCTCTCATATTTGCTAAAAGATCTGTTTTACTCTGTTATTATTTTTTTTCCTTTTTGCTTTCTTTTTCCTTTCTTCTTTTTCTGACAATAACTATGATAAATTGCTGCACTGAGAAGTAGAGGGGAAGACCACAAACCTAATTTTCCTCCTCCTCAAGTCACCCCTCATGGTTTTAACTGCCAGCCAGTCTGACTGCAGCCTTGCTATGCTTTTTGATTAATGTTAATTGAATAATATCAATAATAATATTAATAGGACATGAATAATTATTGAGACAATTGAGACATTGAGTCACTGTAAGTAATATTCTCCTCATTGTCAAGAGAGCTTGAGAACTTGCTGGGCTTTAATGAAAATCCCATATGGGGTCTTTAAAATAAATCCCCAAGTATCTTTTCAGCATGTTCTCCAGGGATAGCTTAGTATGTCATTTAAGTTGTCTACTTTTTTTTTTTGCACTTTTAATTCAAAGATGGAAATATTGAGTGAACTCAAGGGTTCGAGAGGGCCAGAGCAAGTGATATTAAAGGCTTTTCCTGGCCTTAAAACATATAAATGTATGAACAGGTCCTCCAGCAAGGTAAGAGCCAATCCACTTAGGCCTTACAGAGCTATATGAGCTCTTTAAGGTAATTTTAAATAAAAATTCTTTTTTTTTCTTTTTAATCCAAGAGAAAGCAAGCATATTCAACTTTGACCTGATTTGCTCAATGAAAAGGCATTGTAGCTGTTCCCTTCAGCAAAAAGTCAGTATTTCCTAAAAGGAAAACTGAAAAACCTGTCTTCTAGTGACTCCTGAATTTCAATTGAAGTTTTCTTTTGTGAAATTGGTGTTCTCAGGAAGCTTTTTTCTAGCACACTCTCTGGTTCATTAGACAGCATTCATCTCCTTCAGTGACTGCCTAACCTTCACTTTTCTTCTTCAATCCACAAAAGATTATGCGATTCTTATTATTAACACTTAACTTTTCATTCGATCCATGGATGATATATTGAAAAATATTATAATGAAAATAAGCAGCATATCGAATAAGGTTGCTAAGAAAATGAAAATGAGAAACTCATCCATCCATTCCATTATTTTATCTGGGCTAAAGGTCCTTAACGTCTGAGAATCAGATGTTCCACTGTGTGAGAAATGATCTTGCAAGTAGTGAGCCACAAGCCTTACAGGCCCTCCTCAAAAGTGAGGCCAGGGAGTCTGTTAGAAAGCACACAAAATGCCAGCATCAATGCCAGCGGGACCTGAAATCTAAATTGAACCAACAATGAGAACCATTCAAGGTTTTTAAAGAGTAAAATGATGATTTTTCAAACTCATCTTATCTGCTGTCTGATGTAGTTAAGAAAAAGCAAGTCTTGAAAATGCACATCAATTTGTATTGTTAAAGTTACTAACAGTTGTTAGCTACTAAAGCTACTAACTAGTTGTTAGTTGTTGTTGAAAGCAGACTGGTGTCATTTAAAAAAAAAAAAAAACCACTGATAATCCCTAATAAAGGCCCTGATAATCCTTAATATAGGTACCTTACCTTTTACATCAAGAAAGAATGGGCAGTGGGGAAGAATTTGCACAGTAAAACATTCTCAAGCACATCTAAATTTGAGTTGCTGAGGCCTATCCAGGCCTTAAGCTGTGTAACAAGAAGAAATTTAAACTATTCAGAGGAGTGATGCTCCTTCAGGATCTAGACTGACTACAGAGATGCTCTGTAAGGGGCCGCTCCAATACTCACCTGTTTGGTACTATCATGTCCAACAGAGCCACTGAGAGAATACACAGAATCTAATGGTGAAAGTTATTCTGGGGGAAAGGGAAGGAAGAAAAAAACACTTTAATGGTTACAACCCACTAAAGGATATTAGTAAGGCAAAGTATGAAGGTAGAAGTAATATTTTCTATTAGATCAACTGACAGAAATCACACTCTGAAGAAGCACTTTTTCAACAAAAGCACATCCATCTTTTTCCCTAGTTATGTCAGCCAATCTAATAAATCCGCGAGACTCCTTCTCTTATATATCTTGTTTCACATCATCTTCCAGCATTTCATGCAAGGACACAAATGTGGGCAGAGCTCAGACCTGTCAATCTAAAACAGCTTTTCAGAGTACTTGCTGCCTAAGATCTAAGAAGCTTCTGAATCATTGCAGCTGGACTGTTTCCAGATCAGGGTCAGGGTCTTCTTCCGAGGCCTGAGGACCCATAGTTGCTCAGATTATGCCCTTTCCATTGGCACATGGGCTTTGAGATGAGGAAAAAAAGAAAAAACAGAAAGCCCAGGTCCTCCCCAAGGCCAAGGAGGTCTGCATTTTAGGGAAAGGTGTTGCCTTGAGTTGTTCGATAAAAGGCATTAGTGTTGCAACCAGTTCAGTTTCTCATTAACCACCTGAGATATTAAGCAGTGTGTTGGAAACACCTTCAGCCATCCCCTTTTGCCACTACTGGTTCCAGCACCCAGCAGGTGGGAGGAATCCTATTTGCTTGCCTCTGTAAAGCATTTTAAGTCCTACTGTCTTCAGTGAGTAAAGCCCTGTTCAATATCTGCATGATAACTATTCATTGTTTTTATTACGGAAAATTGAAGAAATCAGTATCGTTCTTTCTCTCCCTTGCTTTTCCTCATGCCTTTGCATTTTGAGATTGTCCTAAGCCTATATACACTTGAATTAGAGAAATGTCTGTTTTCTACTAGCAATAAAACTTTACATTTTTCCCCCCTACCGATTTTTCATAGATTCATGGATCCATAATCATTCACGTCACAGACTGAGGGAGATGAGGCTGGGACAGGATAATAGCCTCTAAATCCCCTTCTGTAAGCACTCAGATCTTCCCTGTCAGCAAGATTAAAACGGTCAACAGCAGTCTTCGCGTGTCTGTATCTCACACTGAGCTTTCACCACTGGACTGGTGACTGGCAGGGAGAAAAACACAGAACTGCTGCTGTGCCCAATGCTACTGAGATAGAGACGGAAGAAAGCAGAACTGTCACCTCTTGCGATTTTTCCAAGGACAGGTGAATGCAAAGAAAAGGGAAGAGTAAGGAAAAATATTATGCTGCAGTTTAACCAGAGGGGGCAGTTTCTATTACCAAAACATAAAGTAAGAGAGAAAGAAGTATCAAATGCTCTCCCAGCGTTTGAGGTGGGGAAGGAAAATGAGAGCATGCACTTGGACAAGCAGAGCAGCTTTCCCGACATTGCTCCGCTGAGCTCCCAGCCCCTGCTGCTCCTGGGACCCGAGGGCAGCTACAACTACTACGTGGACGATGAAGATGAGGAAGAGGAAGAACAAGATAAGTGGCCAAGCGGAGACTCCCTTGAGGGAGGAAACAAGCCCTCCTTGCCTGCTCCTTGCTCCCCTTCACTACCCGCGGGAGCCCCAGTTCCCTCCTCGTCAGTGCTGAACATCAACGTGGGCGGCCAGAGCTACCGCCTCACCTACCAGGCCGTCGCCATCTACCCCAAGACCCGCCTGGGCCGCCTGGCCACTTCCACCGACCGGCGCTGCCCGCTGGGCTTGTGCGACGACTAAGCCGCCCAGGTGGACGCACGCCGCGCTGCTGCCGCATCTGCTTTGAGGAGCGCCGCGACGAGCTCAGCGAGCAGCTCAAGGTGCAGCGCGAGCTGCGCTCCCAGGCCGAGGCGCAGGAGAACGAGCAGCTCTTTCACCACATGCGCTACTATGGCCCCCAGCGCTGGCACCTCTGGAACCTCATGGAGAAGCCTTTCTCCTCGGTCACCGCCAAGGTGATGGCCGTGGCCTCCAGCTTCTTCGTGCTCATCTCCGTGGTGGCCCTGGCGCTCAATACTGTGGAGGAGATGCAGCAGGGGGGCCGGAAGAGGGGGGCGAGCGTGCCCGGCCCAGACACTGTGCATCGCCTTCTTCACGCTGGAGTACCTACTGCGCCTCGTCTCCACGCCCGACCTGCGCCGCTTCGCCAGCAGCGCGCTCAACGCTGTAGACCTCATCGCCATCCTGCCCCTCTACCTCCAGCTGCTGCTGGAGTGCTTCGCAGACGACGACCAGCCGCGGGGACGGGGCTCTCAGCATGAGCACGACATCGAGAAGGTGGGACGAGTGGGCAAGGTGGGACAGGTGCTTCGCATCATGCGGCTCATGCGCATCTTTCGCATCCTCAAGCTGGCCCGGCACTCCACGGGGCTGCGTGCCTTTGGCTTTACCTTGCGCCAGTGCTACCAGCAGGTGGGCTGCCTCCTGCTCTTCATTGCCATGGGCATCTTCGCCTTCTCTGCCATGGTCTACACGGTGGAGCATGACGTCTCCAGCACCAACTTCACCAGCATCCCCCATGCGTGGTGGTGGGCTGCCGTAAGTAGAAATATCTCACCTTGCTGGGTAGCCAGAGGCGCCTCCCTCCCCTTCCCTTCACCCCTAGATTTGCTGTCGATCTCGAAAACAGCAGGCTGAGATCAGCAAACATCTGCTCTGAATTCTGAGCTTACAGGACATATGCACTCACTCATGCATGCACACACACTCACGCACCTCTTCTGCAAGCTTAAATCAGGGCTTAATCAGGGAGATAGATCGTGTCGAAATTCCCCTCTCTCCATATGCAGATGGGGCTTGTCCTTTAAAGGAGAAGCGGGCAAACAGACAGGAATAGATGGTTGCAGAAGGACATGTTTTTTTGCATTTTCATTTCTGCTGGTATTTTTGAATAACTCCGTTGACCCAACTAATGGCTACAAGAAGCTAACACATAGTTTAGGTGCTGTTCTGCAGGCTCTGGACACAAATTTAAGTCTTTCCCAGAGCTCTGGCCATGAAAAATCCACATAGGGCCAATAATTGTTCTCCACAAGGAACTATATCCTTTTCTTTAGCGGGCACCCCCTAAGACATAGGCACATAAAGGAAACGTGTGGTATTTGTACTGTGCCGAGACTTGCACAAAAGTAAACCAAAAAGGCACAGAACGGCTCAAGGGGCGGAAAAGGATGAATTGCCTGGTTCGAAACTCACATCAGTCAATAGTGACAGCAGGTTAATGTCACCTTGCCTCTTATTTTTTTGCAGCTGCTGCACGGAGTACGGCAATTTTAGCCCTGTCGCAGACAGGGGAGATTATCACACTGCAAAAATGCAAAAACAGTGATTGGAGAGAGGGTAACTGTCTGAATTCCAGCTGACGTGCCTCAGAAATGGAGACAGGATGATACCGTTTTTAGAGGCTGCTGGGGAGGGCAGTGCTCCAGGGCATCTGGGCACATCTCCCTGAGAGGTCTGACCTGTCACTGATCCATGCTGGAGGCAGCATTTTCAAAGTTGGTGGTTTTGTATCTTTCTGGGGCATGAAGACTTAGCCAGGGATATTGAGCTATAGCCATTCTGGTTTCCCCACCTGCTCTCGCGAAACAAAAGTCAAGACTTTTATAGCGTTTGGGACCCGTTTCCACCGCAGACACATAAGCAACCAAGGAGAGCCATGCACTCACTTCCAAAAGGTCATTTTTTTCACCAAACCACTTCAATATCACTGGCATGGTAATGCTTTCCAAGGTAAGCCATGGAGACAAAAGTAACAGCAGGTCATGGTCCCTGTGCCCACACTCTGGCAGGTTGTGTGGCTCACACTGTTCTGCAGACACACAAGTGCACCCACTTGCACAAAGGTGCTGAGTGTCCCCCAAGCTGGACAGTGCATGTGGGAAAGCGTCATGTCACCCTCAAGTGACATGCGGAGGGTATGGAAATAAAAAATCCTACCTCATATGTAACCGGAATAAGGTGGTTCCTTATGTCTTGTGCAGAATATGTGTAAAATCTATCGGGCTCACCTGTGCAAGCTGCTGGACTCACTGTTATGCTGAAACTCCTATAAATCCCATACAATTACATATATGAAAAAAGCCTGTTTAGCTCAGCAAGGGTCTCCCGAAGAGGAGCACCTTGCAATTCTATGGCGTAACTCTTTTTCCAGCCTATTTATTCTTTAAGAATAAAAATTGATGTATTCAGATCATTCAAATTTCAATAAAATCCATCCATGCCCTCAGCCTCACACACCCCAAACTGCAGTTTTCCCTTCCACACTGCCATAGGTAATATAGAAGAGGATGCCAGTGGAACAGGACCTTATCACAGGATAATGACACTGTCCTGGCTGGTAGAGATAAACATCTTGCCTCCATCTCAGTATTTATTTTTGGAGATATTTATCCTGTATTATCATTCAAATCCAGTGACTTAATTTCCATTAAACCAAATGACTAATCCCTTTTATTCCGCAGGAAGCACCAGGTGCATCCTACAAATATGCTTATCCAGTGTTGTCTCATGCACCCTAATGCTTTCTTCATTTGAAATAACATTGTATTTAGCATGTTAGAGGATGGCAGACGGCACATTGTGACCTTCCAGAGACTTATTTCAGTGCTAAAGCCACAAGGGCATTTCAATGAAACCCCTATTTCCTGCACTTTAGCTGTTTCTGATAGAATTTCACATTACCTTTTCACAGCTGCATACAGCATCTTCAGCTTCTGTGAAAAATATTAAATAAGATTGCTTGGCTGAAAAATATCCCTTGTTTAGGAATCAGATTAGGAAGTGACAGATTGCAGTGGCCTTAAAGTCATGCCTAACAGGGGGGAGGGGGCAGGAAAAGAGCTATATTTACTAAATGTAAGGATTATAAGCAAACAAGATACGTGCTTTGGAAGCATGTAACTTAGGAGTTATTTATGCCAGTAGTTTCAGTAGTTTGGGAGTTCGTCATTCAAATGCAATGTCCCCATAAGCAAACACCTCATGGACATGTGGTAGCCCAAACCAAATTATATCAAGACAGGATTGCAGGACTCTCTACAGTACCCATCACATATAAAACACAACCCCTCCGCATGTAGCTAAGAAGAAGAATTTATGAAGTTTTACAGATAAGGTGATGGCAAGATTTGCCATCATATAACATGGAGATGCTAAATACACTTCCATAAAAAAAAAAAAAAAAAGGAAGAATAAAAAAAAACCCAACAAGGAAGAATTAAAAGAAAACACACAATTTGCTCCATCCCTGAATCTTTTTTCAGGGCAAAATTCAGCCAAGGTTTCCGTGTACCTGTCAGATGAAACAAACAGGAGTGGTCCCTATTGAAGCTGTTCATGTAACAGGCTTCCATAACTTCTGACATATAGCTGAGCAGGAAAAACAAACAATTTACCACTGTAAATGCATATTGTAAGCATATGCAGCAAACAAAGACTTCTGGTCACCTGAATGAGACCTTTGTTTCTTTTCTTTTCTTCTTTTTTTTTTTCCCTATAGCTCCTTACAATCATGTACCCATTAGAGGGAACTTTATTTAGGAGCTTTAAACAAAAGAGCTCTGCTGGGCTGCGTCTTCTTAGAGTGCATATATTATTGAAATATATTTTGCAGTTAGCTGAAGCTTTCAGTATGCTTTTCATTAAGCTTTTCATGAAGAGTATGTACTCTTCATTATATACATGATATTTGTAATATATGGCATACATATGGTATATATGTAGTATGTGTGTGTTTTGTGTGAATATGCTTGGAATATATATAACATATGACAAAGTTGATTTTT